CTGCCACAGCACATGGTGGAATTTCGATTTAGTAAAAATCTAGAATTGAGAGTCTGATGATAAATCCCTTGTTGGGGATAGTCAGGGGAGACCTATTTGGTTCACTAATGCCCTTTAGGGAAGGGAAATCTGCCATCCTTACCTGGTCTGGCCTATGTATCACTCCAGACCCACAGCAATGTGGTTGACTCTGGACAATAAATGCTGGCCTGGCCAGTGATGTCCTCACCCCATGAATGAATTTGAAAAAGAAAGGCTTTTTCTGAACACGGAGTTGCATGTTGTCTGCTTTGATGTTAAAAATCAGGTCGAGCAAAGTGCATAATTAAATCTATAGAAAAACCACAATTTTCAGTCATGTGACAGTTAGATCTAATGTCTCTCATTAAAACCGGTGTGTGTGTGTGTGTGAGGGAGAGAGAGAGAGACAGTGTATGGACCAACTGGTGGAGGTATTCACCGACATCTTCAACCTCTCCCTTCTACAAGCACAACTCCCCATCTGCTTCAAGAAGACCATCATCATCCCCATACCTGAGAAAACACATGCAGTGTGCCTTAATGTCTACCGCCCAATAGCTCTGACTTCAATAATCATGAAGAGCTTTGAGGGGCTGGTCATGGCCCACATCAACTCCAGTCTCCTAACCTGCCTCAATGCCCTACAATGTGCCTATGAACATAACAGATCCACAGAGGATGCCATACCCCTAGCCCTGCACTCATCCCTGGAACATAAGGTTCCTCACCAACTTCTGTAGATGCATCATTGAAAGCATACTGTCCAGGTGCATAACGGCCTGGTATGGCAACTGCCCTGCCCAGGACTGTATTAAACTACAGAAGGTGGTGTGCACAGCCCAGACCATCACGGAAGCCAACTTCCATCCATGGACTCCATTTACACGGCTCGCTGCCACGGAAAGGCTGCCAACATCATCAAAAACCCATCACATCCTGGTAATGATCTCCTACAACCTCTTCCATCAGGCAGTAGATACAGAAGCTTGAACACTCGCACCAGCAGGTTCAGGAACAGCTTCTTTCCAGCCGTTATCAAACTGCTGAATGGACTCTAGCCTCAAATAATGTAACCTGCAATGTAACCTGTCTGCTACTAAGTCTTTTTGATCTGTACATCCTTTGCTTGCTGTGATCTGCCTGTACCACTCGTAAACAAAGCTTTTCACTGTATTTCAGTACCTGTGACAATAAATAAATAAATAAATGTGTGTGTCTTTTATTTTGCAGGTACCTATGGGACTGTTAGAACCATTAAGTCATAGATGTCTACAACAGAAAAAGGGGCTCAGCCCATTGTGTATATAACCATCTAACTATTCTAATCCCCTTTCCCAGCCTTGGCATCACAAGTGCACATCTAAACCCTTCTTCAATGTGATGAGGATTTCTGCCTCTCCCACACGTACAGGCAGTGAATTCCAGATTCCCCACCAGCCTCTGGGTGAATATGTTTTCCGTCACATCGCCTCTCAACCTTCAATCTATTCAATCTATGTCTCCTTCCCCATGTCATTGATCCCTCCATCAAGGGGGAAATGTTTCTTCCTGTCTACCCTATCTATACCCCTCATCATTTTATACATCTTGATAATTTTTTCCTCTTTCAATTTTCTATGCTCTAATCTCTCTCCATCACAGAAACTCTCCAGCCTCTAAGGCAACAAATCTCCCTCTGCACCCTCTCCCAGTGCTATCACATCCCTCTGATAATGTGGATTCCAGAATTGCACATAATACCCTCACTGTGGCCTAACTGATGTTTGATACAGTTTCAGTTTCACCTCCCTGCTCTCAAACTCTGGGCTAATGAACGCAAACATTCCCATCAGCCTCTTAACCACTTCATACACCTGTCCTGATACCTTGAGGGACCGGTGAGCATGCACACCAAGTTCCCTCTGATCCTCGGTCCTTCCCAGGGTCCTAATGGTCATCTTGCCTTGCTTGTCTACCTCAGCTGTGATGAATTTCGATGTTTACCAGACCCATGTCCCTGTAATGTTTATACAAATGGGAGAGGTGGTATTCCAGAGAAGCAATGCGTCCGTTTTTTCCTGGTCATGATTGGAAATTTCGAGAAGGTGGCACATTCTGTGCAGCCACATTGATTGCAAATTTTAAACAGTTAAACAAAAATAGAATCAGAGATAGTAGGAACTGCAGATGCTGGAGAATCCGAGACAACAAGGTGCAGATCTGCAGTTCCTACTATCTCTGATTCAATTTTAACTCCACTGCGAAGCCTCTTCTAAGGATGCCTAGCCTGAAGAAGTTACCCTCCTCCGTCCGGATAAACCTCAGGGGATCTCTCTCCCACTGCAACTTTCTCGTAATCTCTTCGGCCTTGAAACTGCTCGACCATGTCCTGAAGCAAACCAGGTACTACAGCCACATCACCTTTCTTAGTACCTGCCTACTGGCTCCATCCCCGCCTCTACAACCTGTCTGTTTCCTCTCTGCCTATCTTCTCCTCTATCCATCTTCTATCCGCCTCCCCCTCTCTCCCTATTTATTTCAGAATACCCTTCCCCTCCCCCATTTCTGATGAAGGGTCTAGGCCCGAAACGTCAGCCTTTCTGCTCCTATGATGCTGCTTGGCCTGCTGTGTTCATCCAGCTCTGCACCTTGTTGTCTCTTAAACAAAAATAGCTTCTTTTTTGCAAAAAGGTTTGTGCTTCATGTTTTGCACGGATGATAATCACTACAAGTCATTATGAGTACCCACTCTGTTCTCTGAGATACTTCAATCTTCATCTACACTATTCACAGGGAAGAGGTTACACAGATACAGAGCAGGCAGAATTCCAAAGAAGGATCAGAATTTTAGCAAATGGCACCATATTCTCCCTCGTCCCTCCTGAATCATAGAATCCCTACAGTGTGGCAGGTGGCCATTTGGCCCATTGAGTCTAAACTCTCTAAAAAACACCTGCCCCTACACCTCCCCTCTCACCTCCGTCTAAGGTCCCAAACAATCCTTCCAGATCTGGCAGAGATTCACCTGCACTTCATCTAACTGATCTAGTGTATCCATTGGTCCCGATGTAGTCTCCTCTATATCGGGGAGACCAAATGCAGACCAGGGGACCGGTTTCCCTCTCTCACTCCCCTGGTGATGTGTCTATCCTTGGCCTCCTCCACTGTCAGTGAGGCCAAATGTAATCTGGAGGAACCTCATATTTCACCTTGGGAACTTACAGCCCAACGGCCTCAATATTGACTTCACCAGCTTCAAAATCCCTCCAACCCACCCCCCCCCTCCCCAGCCTTATCCCATGTCCAACCCTTTCTCTCCTCCTAGCCTCCCTGGCCTGACTGACCAATCACAATAAGCCCCTACCTGCATCCACTTATCACCATCCCACCTACCCTTCTCCCAGCCCCACCCGCCTCCTTCTATTTACTTCTGGGCTCCATTCCCGCTCCCCCATCCTGATGAAGGGTTTCGGCCTGAAATGTATACTTGCTTGCTCATCTGTCCTGCTGTGCTTTTCCAGCTTTACATCTATTGACTCTGTACCAAACACCTTCTTCACTACCCTGTCTACCTGGGACACCGCCTTCAAGGAACTATCTACCTGCACCGCAAGGTCTCTTTGTTCAGCAACACTCCCAGGACCTTACGATTCAGTGTATAAGTCCTGTCCTGATTTGTCTTTCCAAAATGCAGCACCTCACATTTATCTAAATTAAACTCCATCTGCCACTCCTCGGCCCAACGGCCCATCTGATCAAGGTCCCGTCGTACTCTGAGGTAACCTTCCCCACTGTCAACCACACAACCAATTCTTGTGTCAGAGAGTGTAAACATGATAGCTAAACTCATCTCTAAGAAATTCTGCGAAAAAAGCGAGTTTAAGAAACTTGCCTTTCCTCTGAAGTTAAAGTAATATCGGGAACACATATCTATTAATTAGGACAAAACCTGGAAGATGCTGGACAATTTGGACATTCTTGAGAGGAAAGAGTTGTGCCATCTGATTTGTTTGGAAACTGAGGTCAAGGTTTAGCACGTGCTTTAAGACAGCTTGATTTTTTTTGGAAGCTAGTGGCATTAGAAAAGGAGCAAAGGAAAGTAATCTGTTTTGTGGACCCAGCAATCAGAGTGAGCAAAGAGAAGTTACAGTCTCTCTCTGAAAATCCCATTTGCTTTTGTTTTGAATTGGGTAATTGTCGCATTTCCAAACACTGACCAATTATCTGCAACTCGAATCCAAGTTGATTGGAACAAGAATATCCATCATTAATCTACAGCGGCCTCCACTGGGTGTAGAATTAGCTTCATCAACAGGAAATTCAGCGGATGTAAGAACTTATCTCATTTTATCTCAGAGGATTGACAATCCTTGGAATTCTTTACCGCACAGAGCTGAAGAAGTTGGGTCGCTAAGTATATTCAAAGTTGAGATAGGGAGATGTTTAATCAGTAAGGGAATCAAGAGTTATGGGGAAAATGTTTCCACACCTTTGGCTCACCAGTGTTGTTTTTCTCTCATTGACCTTTTGTTTTTAAGAAACCCATCATCTCTGCAGTGATTTGTCTTATTTGGTGTGTGCACCCATATATGGGATTAATCATAGAATCCCTATAGTGTAGAAGCACGCCATTCAGCCCATCGAGTTTACGCCAACCCTCTGAACAGCATCCCAATCCCTAATCTATCCCTGCAACCTTGCACTTCTCATGGCCAACCCACCTAACCTGCACATCTTTGCACTTTGGGAATACATTAGAGCACCTGAAGGAAATCTATGCAGAGACAGGGAGAATGTGCAAACTCCACACAGACAGTTACCCGAGGGTGTAATCAAACACAGGCCCCTGATGCTACGAAGCAGCAGTGCTAACCACTGAGCCACTGTGAAACCCCCCCCCACTACCAAATTATAATTCTGGATCATTATTTAGATATTAACCAGAGTTTGCCACCTGCTTTAAGAAAAGTCTTTGTAAATAACAAAATAATTATTTTGAGTTTGTTTAAGAAGCCTCGAGAAATTTATTTTGACCACAGTACAAAAGTAATTGGCCATTGACAATAGCGGTGTGAGAAGAAGAGTGGGACTTCATTTTCGGAGCATTTCACGCATACGGAGCAGAGAGTTTAATTTGCAGTTTTAGATATTTCAGCAAGAGGTACCATCTGAAGAAATCCATCCAATAGATGCAGTGAAATGTTCTAGTTGGAGCAAGATGTCTAGATGTGGAGACAACAATGACTCCACACTGTGGTTTAGGTGTTTCTGAGGCGGTCACTGGGAAGAGTGAGTGTTTGAATCCTTTTGCTGGCGTTTGCGTTAAAATCTGTCCTACCTGTTTGTCTAGTGTTAATATAGGGTGTTCTTTCTTGTTCAATAAACATTTTCTTTTTTACATTAAAAGGACACTTACAGACTCTTGGGAATGTCAAGGCCGATACCGGTAAAGAGGGACTGTCTGATGGGGAGAGGCGAGGTAGATTGGGCCTGTACTCGTCATGAGCTTAGGAGAATGAGGAGCAACCTTACATAGAACATAGAACAGTACAGCACAATACAGGCCCTTCGGCCCACGATGCTGTGTCGACCTATTATCCTACTAAGATCAATCTACCCTGCATTTTACTATCCTCCACGTGCCTATCCAAGAGTTGCTTAAAAGTCTCTAAAGTATCTGACTCCACTACCACTGCTGGCAGCGCATTCCACACGCCCACCACTCTGTGTGAAGAACCTACCTCTGATATCTCCCCTATACCTTCCTCCAATCACCTTAAAATTATGCCCGTAATAGCCATTTCCGACCTGGGAAAAAGTCTCTGGCTATCCACTCTATCTACACCTCTCAACATCTTGTAAACCTCTATCAAGTCACACCTCATCCTTCTTCGCTCCAATGAAAAAAGCCCTAGTTCCCTCAACCTTTCCTCAGAAGACCTGTCCTCCAGTCCAGGCAGCATCCTGGTAAATCTCCTCTACACCCTCTCTAAAGCTTCCACATAATGAAGCAACCAGAACTGAACACAATATTCCAAGTAACCTTATCGAAACAAACAAAATTCTTAGAGGAGTTGACAGGGTAGATGTGGAGAGGTCGTTTCCTCTTCTGCAAGAGTCTAAGGCCGGAGGACATCAACCCAGAATAAGGGGTCACTCATTTAAGGCAAAGGTGAGGAGGAACTTCTTCGCTCAGAGGGCTATGGTGGCTGGGTCATGGGGTATATTCAAAGCTGAGACAGACTTCTAATCAGTAAGGGAATCAAGAATTAGGGGGAACAGGCAGGAAAACAGAGTTACAGATAATCAGATCTGCTGTGATCCCATTGATTGTTGGAGCTCAATGGGTTGAATGGCCTACTTCCGCTCCCACATCTAATGGTTCATTAAATGACATCTATGGGTTAAGAAAGACCAACATTCGGTGGGGGGAGGGCAGGGTTGCGGTGGGGGGTCTACCAAGCTGAGATTCACGGAACTTGACCAGAATGATGGAGACCAAACATCATCGGATACCCGGCCTGCAGAGAGATAGAACAGGCAGTTCCTGGGTATGAGGTGCCCCAAATCACCCACCGGGGGTTGGGGGGGAAAGGAGGAGCAGGAACTGTGCATGACCTGTAACTTCAGCAGGGCAGATGACAGTGGCTTCCAGATGCTGGGCACTAGTGAACATACCCTACACATTTCTACAATCATACAACCCCTATAGTGCGGAAACAGGCCATTCAGCCCATTGAGTCCACACTGACCCTCCAAAGAGCATCTCACCCTATCCCATAACCCTGCATTGCCCAATTTAGTCTAATCTGCTCATCTTCAGAGTGTGGGAGGAAACCGGAGCACCCAGAGGAAACCCATGCAGACACAGCAAGAACATGCAAACTCCACACAGACAGTTGCCCGAGGGTGGAATCGAAGCCAGGTCCCTGGCACGGTCAGACAGCAGTGGGGAGGCAATGGTATTGGCACTGGACTGTTAACCCAGAGACCCTGATAACGTTCTGGGGACCTGGGTTCGAATCCCACCATGGTATGTGGTGGAATTTGAATTCAAAAAATATCTTGAATTAAGAGTCTAACGACAATCATGAATCCAGTGTCAATTGTCAGGAAAAACCCATCTGGTTCACTGACGTCCTTTAGGGAAGGAAACTGCCATCCTGACTTGGTCTGGCCTACATGTGACTCCAGACCCACAGCAATGTGGTTGACTCTTAACTGCCCTCTGGGTAATTAGGGATGGGCAATAAATGCTGCCTGGCCAGCGATGCCCTCATCCTGTTAATGAATAAAAAGGGAAAAAAAAAACATAGCCACCGTGCTGCCCTAGTTCCTTAGCTATTTCCACCATATCACTCCTGAACCGTATCCCTCCCACCTCATAGGATTGTATATGATGCACATCACAAACAGGATAGTTGACCCAGCTATCAGTCCATGTTGGTATACACGTTCCACCCAAGCCTTCTCCTATCTTCACTCATCTAAAAATCGACAATCACTCCATCATTTACAGCCCCTCCAAAACTAGCAAGTCCCCGATCTGTTAACATTGGCAACAATGTTTGGATGATGCAATTAATCATTATTGTAAAGTTGCTACTGCCTAGATGTTCTACTTCTCTGCTCTAATTCATTCTCAATCATTAGATCTAACTGCAAATGTTCTGTCTTTTATTCATCTTGGGTTAGACAGGAGCACTGCACAGATTGCGAGAACTCTGTTCCAGGTTCTCCTTTACCGACCCCTTCCATCCAGTCACGACCAGGGTGATATATATCATACTGCACTAGTGTAAACAGGTATTTCCCCTTATTTTTAGAACTCAATTGTGTAATTTGACTGCATACTTGCCCCACTTCTCTGCCAATTTCAGGTGCTCTGTAGACAACAGCAATAGTGTAATTAACCCTTTCCTCTCTTTTCTTGTTACCGTCTATTTGAGTCTTTTTATTTCTTTTATTCTATTTTAATCTACTGCCATCTTGACTAAGTACAGCTATGCCACCGCCCCATTCACTTCTTCTTTTCAAACTCTATTAGACCCTTCAATGTTTAATTCCATCTCCTGATTTCACCCGTAGCCATGGCTCAGTCATCCCTATTTTATAACTAAATACTTTTCTAACTAACCTGGTCGGAGATGTTAACATGCACCTCGGGGGCAGGTGGGACTTGAACCCAGGACTGTTGACTCAGAGATAGGGATACTACCGTTGCACAAGAGTCCATCCACAATGCAATTAAGGTTTAGTGAACAGTGACCATAATATGATGAAATTTTCTATTAAGTTTGAAAAAGATGTAGTTCAAATTGAAACTAGGATTTTAAAATCTGAAGAATGACAATCCAGCAAGATCTTGATCGACTGGGCCAGTGGGCTGAGGAATGGCGGATGGCGCTTAATTTAGACAGATGTGACGTGTTTCATTTTGGCAGGTGACACCAGGGAGGACTTACAGTCAATGATAGGACCCTGTGGATCGTTACAGAAGAAAGAGATCTCGGGATACAGATTCACAGCTCCTTGAAAGTGGAGTCACAGGTAGACAGGGTGGTGAAGGCAGCTTTCGGCATGTTAGTTTTTAAAATCGGTCAGAGTATTGAGTATAGGAGATGGGACATCTTATCACAGCTGTACAAGACATTGGTGAGGCCATATTTGGAGTACTGCGTGCTGTTCTGGGTCCCCCTACTATGGAGAGGATATTATTAAACTAGAAAGAATGCAGAAAAGATTTACTGGCATGCTAACTGGATTGGAAGGTTTGAGTTATAAGGAGGGGGCTGGATAGGCTGGGACCTTTTCTCCTTGGAGTGTAGTTGGCTCAGGAGTGACCTTATAGAGGTATATAAAATCATGAGAGGCATGGATAAGGTAGATAGCCAAAAGTTTATCCCTGTGGTAGGGGAGTCCAAAACTAGAGGGCATATATTTAAGGTGAGAGGGGAGAAACACAAAAGGGTTCAGGGGAGCAATGTTTCCCCACACAGAGGGTGGTGGGTGTCTGTAACAGGCTGCCAGAGTGGGAGCGAGTATAATTGTGTCATTTAAATAGCATTTGGACAGGTACACGGATGCAGTAGGTATGGAGGGATATGGACCAAACACAGGAAAATGGGACTAAATTAATTGTGAAAAATGGGAGGCATGGGCAAGTTGGGCCAAAGGGCCTGTTTCCATGCTGCACATCTCTGTGACATTTATGAAGGCATGAGCAGGTTTTTGTCACTGGGGGACAGCACATGGAATGCAGCTAGTGCTTAAAGAGTTAATGCTCGTTTTCTGAAAACATATTCCTTTAAGGCAAAAAAATCTCTCAATAGGAAGACAGAGCTGTGGATAAGTGGGGAAGGTAAGATCACATTAGGTAAAAGGAGGAGGCTTATGAAGTTGCCAAACAGGTTGCAAGCAACCTCACTGCATCTTCCAAAATTCTTAAAGGCAGAACAGACACTGAAAGGAGGTCTCCCTCAACTGTTTGGGCCAACCCTAGAGTAAAAGGCTCATCATTTCGGACTGAAATGAGGAGGGAATATGTTCTCTCGGAGGGTGGGGAATCTTTGGAATTCTTGACCCCAGAGGGCAGGCTCAGCTGTAAACTGTCAGAGATTGATAGATTGTTAATAATGAAGAGGGAGTAGTCTGGGAATGTGACATTCTGGTACATCCTTGATGATCTAGAATGATGCAAAGGCTGAACAGCCTCCATTTACGTCTGATTCCTACCACCGGATGCTTATTTCCGGTTCTCTGTTTTATTACATGCAAACGTTTTAACTGTTTTCAACAGGACTTCCCCTCCGTTTTTAACTAGCTACTTTCTGAAGACTTCTGTACCACAAATCTATTTATTGCCTGGCCCTACACGTCTGCCCTGGCTGTAACTTTCTACTTCCTCTCGTCCTGTCCTGTTGCCATTTCAGCAGCTTGCATTTCTTGTCATTTTATCTCTGCCACCTCCTGATATCCCGTGTCCCATCGCACTGTCCCACAGTTCCCACTCCACGAAAGGGAACGCCCTCCCCTCCCCCCTTAAGCTCCATCATTCTTCAACCTGCTCCAACGTCAATCTGCAGGTGGTTCAGGCTGAGTCAGAGACTGTTACTCTCGGGATCCTGCTGTGTAACTTAAGAGCCCAACTCTTGACCCTCTGTCTATTAGACTTCCTCCCTGCTCCTTACCAGGTGTTTGGTGGAGCATTGACCTAGTTTCCCCTCTGAACCTTCCTCCTGACATGGGAGACTCTGTTAACATTGACAGTAGTTATACCAAGTAATACAGGACTCATGTGTTTTGAGGCACAGCTTATAAGAGCAGGGAGCTTATGGTGGAGCTGTATAGGACTTGTGTCCAGTTCTGGTTGCCCTGTTATATGAAGTGATTATTGAGATGGAGAGGGTTCAGAAGAGATTTACCAGGCTGTTGCCGGGAATGGAGGATTTGAGTTATAAAGGAGAAGCTGGAGTGGTTGGGGCTATTTTCTCTGGAGCATAGGAGGCCAGGGAGTGACCTTATAGAGATTTATAAAATCACGAGACGTGGATAGGGAGAATAGGCAAGGTCTTTTCCCCCAGCGTAGGGGAGTCCAAAACTAGGGGGCACAGGTTGAAGGTGAGGGGGGAAACATTTTAAAAAGACACGAGGGGAGATTTTTTTTTTAAAAAAACACACACTTTTATCATGTGTGGAATAAACTTCCAGAGGAAGTGGTGGATGCAGGTACAGTTACAATGTTTAAAAGTCATTTCGATAAGTACATGGATAGGAAATGTTTGGAGGGATATGGGCCAGGCGCAGGCAGGTGGGACTAGTTTCATTTTGGATTATGATTAGCATGGACCGGTTGGACCAAAGGATCTGTTTCCATGCTATTTGAATCTATGACTTTGGTGAGGCCACAGCTGGACTACTGTGCGCAGTTCCAGTCTCCACACTATAGTAAGGATGTGATTGTACTGGAGGGGTTGCAAGGAGATTCACCAGAGTGTTGCCGGGGCCCGAGAATTTCAGCGATGAAGACAGGCTGGATAAGCTCAAGTTGTTTGCTTTGGAGCAGAGAAGGTTGAGGAGTGACCTGATAGAAGCATGTAAGATTATGAGGGGCATGGACAGGGGGGTTAGGAAGCAGCTGATCCCCTTAGTTGAAGGTTCAATAAGAAGGGGGCCATCATTTTAAAGTAAAAGGCAGGAGATTTACAGGGTGATTTGAGGATTGTTTCACCCAGAGAACGGCATGGGTCAGAATACACTGCCTGGGAGGGTAGTCGGGACAGGAAACCTTCCCAACTTTTAAAAAGCACTTGGACGAGCACTTGAAATGTTATAACATTGAAGGCTATGGGCATAGTGCGGGAAAGTGGGGCTAGTCTAGGTAGGTCAGCAGAGGCCCAATGGCTGTTTGCTGTGCTGTGAGACTCTACACGGATAAAAGACCGAGGTGGAGTGGTATACAGGCCATGGATTGCAACATTGCAACTGTTGGTGGAAATGTCAGTTGATATTATTTTCTGGAGCAACTCCTTGTCCACTTCTGCGCATTTCTCTTTCCTTTGAGGGTGGGAGACAGAGGAGTGTGAGAGAGAGCAGAATGTGAACGGGAGGAGTGGGATGTGGAACGTGAGGATCGGAGAAGGCAAGGAAACAGGCTGTGTGACAGGGAAGGTGACAAACACAACAGGCAGTGAGTGAGTAGGGACAAGGCTCGGCAGTGAGACAGGCTGAGGGTGCTAAGATTGGCCTCTTCATCTGTTAGGTCTTTAGAACTACACAGAACAGGCAAAGGGTCGCTTCAGAAAATAATATCCACTGACAACCGCAGGACCCAAGCCAGCTGTTACCACCCACAGCCCATTTACATACAGAAGTCCCGGCACCTACAAATATCACTCACAACACAAATCAGTAAATAATGGAAAGTCCAAAAGCAGCTTGACAATCTAAGTGTGTATATAACATCCAAGGAGAAGACATTATTATGAGTTTGACTGGCTGAAAGGTTAGCGTGAGATGTGCACCTCCTGAGCTATTCAAGTTCAGACTGAAACACACAGACTGCCCATTAGAAAAACTCCAAAGCGACTGAGTTTAATTCAGTGAGCAGCCTTGGTGAATTCTCGATAGACTGCCCAACGTCTCCCTCTGTATAAAGTGCTGCAGCTATGACCATTCTCCCGAAGTCTGAGCCAGCTGCCCCTGCTTACACTGACTCCATCTGAAGCTCATCACCGTCTCCCGACTCCAACTCGTGGAAACCAGCGTGACTACCAATGAACACCAGGGTGGCACCTGGAGGAGGGTGGGGGACAGAGAGAGAGAAGTAGTAAGGTTCACATCTAGGCGGAGGGAGGGAAATAACCAGTGGCAGGGGCTGGGAAAGTTGAAACAAGATGTCAAATGAGGGGCAGGAGGAAACACCAGCGAGCGCACGTGAGGGAGGGAGGGAGGGAGAGAGAATGAGATATAGGACATGGCGAGAGAGGGGAGTCCGAGATAGCAGCATGGTCTGAACTCAATGGTGTACAGGTTTCCAAGGACAATCCTCTCCCTGAAACCTGCAGTTACTCACCCAGGACCCAGAACACAGCTGATCCAGCACCAGCCAACCAGAAGAAGGGGAAGGAGATTGCTCCAGACAGACCGTACTGATGAGCAGGACTCAACTCCCGACCTGCACAACATACAAACACCAGGGTTAATTTCCCACATTGTTGGGTAGATACCAGTGTTGTAACTGTACTGGAACAGCTTGGCTAGGCGAGTGGCAAGTTCTGGAGCACAAGTCTTCAGGACTATTGCCAGAATATTGTCAGGGCCCATAGACCTTGCAATATCCAGTGTCTCCAACCCTTTCTTGATATCACAGAGTGAATCGAATTGGCTGAAGCCTGGTATCTGTAAAGCCAGGGGCCACTGGAGGAGGTTGAGATGGATCATCCACTTGGCAGTTCTGGCTGATGACTTTTACAATAGCTTCAGTCTTATCAATTCAAATAACGTGTCGGCCTCTTCCATCATTGAGGATGGGAATATTTGTGGAACCTCCTCCTCCAGTGAGTTGTTTAATTGTCCACCACCAAACACGACTGGATGTGGCAGGAATACAGAGCTTAGATCTGATGTGTGCAGTCATATTTGATTTTCCTACATATCCTGGTCTAGCGTGCTTTGGAATGGGATCTGGCAGTTTCCCAATGACGGCTGACAGGCTAACTGGCTGATAATTTCCTGTTTTTTTGTCTTGCCCTTCCTTGAACATAGGAGGGACAGTTGTAGTTTTCCAGGGAACTGTGACTGTTCCCAAACCCAAAGAATTGTGGAAAATGACAGCCAATGAGTCTACTATCCCAACAGTGTCTTCCTTTAGGACGCAGAGGGTCAGGTTTGGGGAACATGACAGTCTTTTGTTGAATTGGGCTAAGTTCCTTCCCTCCTCTTTCCCCCACAGTTTAATTCTCATAGTTGGGATGCACGGAGTGTTTTGTACCATGAAGACAGACTATGCTTGTACAAAGCCTACGTGTTCCTATGTGTCCCACTATTAATTTCACTGTCACACCCTCTGCCAGGACCAATGCTCACATTCATCCATATCTTTCATTGTTCCAAACTTGGCAAACGGAATCCAAAATTGGCTTGCAAATAGGAAGTAAAGGGTTGCTTCCTGTGATTAGAGTCATAGAGCTGTACAGCATGGAAACAGACTCTTCGGTTCAATTCATCCACGCTGACCAGATATCCTAAATTAATCTTGTCCCATTTGGCCCAAATCCCTCTAAACCCTTCCTATTCATGGGCGCAGCCGGATGCCTTTCAAAATGTTGCAATTGTACCAGCCTCCACCTTTCCTCTGGCAGCTCATTCCATACACACACCACCCTCCTGTGTGAAAAAGCTGTCCCTTACGTCTCCTAAATTTTTCCACTCTCACCTTAAAACCTTTCTGGTTTTGGACTTTCCTACCCTGGGGGAAAAAAAAAGACATAAGAACATAAGAACTAGGAGCAGGAATAGGCAGGAGCCTGCCCCGCCATTTAATAAGATCATGGCTGATCTTTTTGACACTCAGCTCCACTTATCTGCCTGCACACCATAACCATTAATTCCTTTATTGTTCAAAAATTTATCTAGCCTTGCCTTAAAAATATTCAGTGAGGTAGCTTCAACTGCTTCACTGGGCAGGAAATTCCACAGATTCACAACCCTTTGGGTGAAGAAGTTCCTCCTGACCTCAGTCGTACATCTGCTTCCCTTTATTTTGAGGCGATGCCCTCTAGTCCTAGTTTCACCTGCTAGTGGAAACAACCTCCCTGCCTCCGCCTTATCTATTCTCTTCATAATCTTATATGTTTCTATAAGATCTCCCCTCATTCTTCTGAATTCCAATGAGTATAATCCCAGTCTACTCAGTCTCTCCTCATAATCCAACCCTCTCAACTCTGGAATCAACCGAGTGAATCTCCTCTGCACCCCTTCCAGTGCTAGTATATCCCTTCTCAAGTAAGGAGACCAAAACTGCACACAGTACTCCAGGTGTGGCCACACCAGGACCCTATACAGCTGCAGCATAGCCTCCCTGTTTTTAAACTCCATCCCTCTAGCAATGGCAGACAAAATTCCATTTGCCTTTTTAATTACCTGCTGCACCTGCAATCCTACTTTTAGCGATTCATGCACAAGGACAACCAAGTTCCTCTGCACAGCAGCGTGCTGCAATTTTTTACCATTTAAAACATAGTCCATTTTCCAGTTATTCCTACCAAAATGGATGACCTCACACTTAACATTGTACTCCATCTGCCAGACCTTTGCTCACTCACTTAGACTATCTATATCCCTCTGCAGACTTTCAGTGTCTTCTGCACACTTTGCTCTACCACTCATCTTAGTGTCATCTGCAAATTTTGACACACCACATTTAGTCCCCAACTCCAGATCATCTATGTAAATTGTAAACAATTGCAGTCCCACACTGATCCCTGAGGCACATCACGAGCCACTGACCGCCAACCAGAAAAACACCCATTTACCCCTACTCTTTGCTTTCTACTAGTCAACCAATCCTCTATCCATGCCAATATATTACCTGTAATACCGTGCAACTTTATCTTATGTAGCAGCCTTTGGTGTGGCACCTTGGGTAGCAGTGGAAGGGTGCATTTCTGAATGGAGGAATGTGACTAGTGGCATTCCTCAGGGCTGGGTGTTGGGACCTTTGCTATTTGTAATATGTATAAATGATTTGGAGTAAAATGTAACTAGCGATGAGGACCAAAGGATATAGATCGGGTGGTGACTTGGGAAGAGAGATGACAGATGGAGTTTAATCCAGAAAAATGTGAGGTAATGAATTTTGGAAGGTCTAATCCAGATGGAAAATATACAGTAAATGACAGAACCCTGAAGAGTACTGATAGGCAGAGAGATCTGGGTGTACAGGTATACAGGTCACTAAAGGTGGCAACGCAGGTGGAAAAGATAGTCAACAAGACATATGGCATGCTTGCCTTCATCAGCCGGGACAATGAGTTTAAAAATTGGTAGGTAATATTACAGCTTTATAGAACCTTAGTTAGGCTGCATTTGGAATATTGTGTTCAATTCTGGTCGCCACACTACCAGAAGGATGTGGTGGCTTTGGAGAGGGTACAGAAAAGATTCACCAGGATGTTGCCTGGTATGGAGGGCATTAGCTATGTGGAGAGGCTGCAGAAACTTGGGTTGTTCTTACTGGAACAACGGAGGTTGAGGAGTGACCTGATGGAGGTCTACAAGATTATGAAAGGCATGGCCAGAGTGGACAGCCAGAAGTTTTTTCCCCAGTGTTGAAGAGTCAGTTCCTAGGGGGCATAGGTTTAAGGTGCAAGGGGCAAGGTTTAAAGGTGATGTATGAGGCAAGTGTTTTTTTTTAGAAAACACAGAGGATGGTGGGTGCCTGGAATGCACTGCTGGGGGAGGTAGTGGAAGCAGATACGAAGGTGACTTTTAAAGGGTGTCTTGAGAAATACATGAATAGGATGGGAATAAAGGGATACGGTTCCCGGAAGGTTAGGGGGTTTTAGTTGTGATGGGCAGCATGTTGGTGCAGGCTTGGAGGTCCAAAGGGCCTGTTCCCATGCTGTAATTTTCTTTGTTCTTTGTTCTTTGTTCTTGTGCTTTGTCAAATGCCTTCTGGAAATCCAGATACACCACATCCACAGATTCCCCATTGTCCACCATGCCAGTAATGTCCTCAAAGAATTCCACCAAATTAGTTAAACATGACCTACCCTTCATGAATCCATGCTGGGTGTTCCCAATGGGACAATTTATATTCAGATGTTTTGCTATTTCTTCCTTAAATGATAGATTCAAGCATTTTCCCCACTACCGAAGTTAAGCTAACTGGCCTATGGTTACCTGCTTTTTGTCTACTTCCTTTTTTAAACAGTGGCGTCACATTGGCTGTTTTCCAATCTGCGGGAACCACCCCAGAGTCCAGTGAATTTTGGTAAATAATTACTAGTGCATTTGCTATTTCCCCCGTCACCTCTTTTAGTATCCTGGGATGCATTTCATCAGGGCCAGGAGACTTGTCTACCTTTAGCCCCATTAGCTTGCCCAGCACTGTCTCCTTAATGACCTTGGGTATCTACCCTATCCATGCCCCTCATGATTTTATAAACCTCTATAGGGTCACCCCTCAGCCTCTGATACTCCAGGGAAAACAGCCCCAGTCTGTTCGGCCTCTCCCTATGGCTCAAACCCTCCAGTCCCAGTGACACCCTTGTAAATCTTTTCCGAATCCTTTCAAGTTTAATAACATCTTTCCTATAGCAAGAAGGCCAGAATTGAGCCAGTATTTCAAAGGTGGCCTAACCAACGCCCTGTACAGCCACAACATGACCTCTCAACTCCTATACTCAATGCACTGACCAATAAAGGCAAACGTGGTGCTTGTTATGTACATTAATGATTTGAATGTGGTCAGAAATCACACAACACCAAGTTATAGTCCAACAAGTTTATTTAAAAATACAAGCTAACATTTGAAGAAGGCGCGAGGCTCTGAAAACTGTTGTTTTCAAATAAGTTGGTTGGTCTATAACCTGGTGTTGTGTGACTTCTGACCTTGTCCACCCAAGTCCACCCCCAACACCGCCACATCATGACTTGGTTGTGAACATAGAAGATATAATTAGCTAATATACAGATGACATGAACATTGAATAATAAAGGTGCAATGTTTGGAAGATGATGATCAGCCAGGTAGACCTCATAGCATGAGTTCTCTGACTGGGGCTGTGAAGCTAATCCAATCAGGGACCCCTGGCTGACAGATATAAACAAGAATCTCAGAGGTTTCGCTTACTCTAGGAGCCAGCTCTGAGCTAGTTATATCAGTGTCATGTACTGTGCATGCGTAAGTTAAGGGTGACTAAGTGATGGGATACTGGCCTCTGAAGTTACTTCAAAACAGACCCTGGAGTACAAGTCCATAGATCCCTGAAGGTGTCAGCACAGGTAGGCAGGGTGGGGAAAGAGGCATACGGGACGCTTGCCTCCATTAGCCAAGGGGTAGAGTATAGCAACAGGGAAGTCTTGTTGTAACTTTTATAAAACACTGCTTAGGCCCCAGGTGAGATAGTAAGTGTGGTGACCAGAACTGCACAATCAGAAGGACATGATGGCACTGGAGAGGATGCAAAGGAGATTCACCAGGATGTTGCCTGGGGTGGAAAGTCTTAGTTATGAGCACAGGACAGATAGGCTGGATTTGGTTTCCCTGCAGCAGAACAGGCTGAATGGGGAATCTGATTGAGCTACACAAAATCATGAGACAGAGTAGATTGTGAGAATCTTGTCCCCACAGCAGACGGGGGCATTAGTTTAAGGTGAGGTGGTTTATAGGAGATCTGAAAGACCATGCTGCCTGAGAGTGTGGTGCAGGCAGATACTCAACATTTAAGCTGCATCTGGATGAATACTTAAAATGCCAGGGCATAGTGGTGCAGGGAAATGGGATGAGTATAGTTTGGTGTTTGTGGGTCAGCATAGACATGGTGGGCTGAAAGGCCTGTTTCTCTGCTGTATGACTATGATTTGGAGAAGCTCTTTCCGTCTGTTTGGTATTCTCCACGGTTTCCCCTCAAATTGGTTTACTCTGTGTTTGGGAATATGACAGAAGCGGACAGGGGAGGGTGTTAATGGAGCTCACCATCCGTGAGCTGATCCAGAAGCACCAATCACCAGTGGTTTCAGATCACTTACCGAACAGGACAAGGCGGGACTGGGAGGCTCGCAGGTGAACGATGTAACAAGCTCCGAAAAACACCACCAGGGCGATCAGCAGCATTGGAGAGGTGATCCTGGAAGGGGGAAGAGAAAGAGAGAGAGAGTGTGAGAGAAAGCGAGAGAGAGGGAGAGAGAGGGAAAGGGAGAAGGGGACAGAGTGAAATTGTGTGAGAGATTCACAGTGAGAAAGAGAGACGGAAACAGCGTGAACAAGAGAGACAGACGGTGAGCAGGAGAATGCGAGAGGGTACGTGCGGGAGGGAGGGAATGTGGGAGAGAGTGGGAGCACTTGAGAGAGCAAGAGTGTGCATGAAAAGACAGAGCGCGTGCGAGACAGCAAGAAAGAGAATGTGAGCGAGTGTGTTTAAGAGAGATTTAGGGAGAGATATACAGAGAGGGGGAGTGTGGGAATGAATATAAGTGAGACAATGAGGGTGATTGCGCGAGAGAGGTGGGGAGAAGAGAGAGGGACACATACACACACAGGAGCAATGAAACCAATTGACAGACTCTGTAACAGGTTACATTTGTGATGAGACAGCCCCAGTGGCCCAAGTCAGGGGGGAAATGGCGACAGTGTATACCGTTTCCCAGTGTCTGGTACAAGGAAGTGGTAAGAGGGTGATACCCCCACATCCCACACCCTGTAATGGTTCAGAGTGTCCCTTAGTGCCCTATGAAGCAGTTCTGCCTTGGAATCTGGCCAATCAACCAGGCAGTAAACCATGGCAGGTACTCGTGAGGGTGTGGCAGTACTGGGGTGGGGACAGGCAGCTACTCCATCACACCAGGTACATCGCGAACTCTCCCCACCCCATGCCAGAGTGAGGAACACCCTCCGTCTTTCACTTCGCCATTCCTCCCTAACACCTTCTCACATTGCCTCTCCCTCTCACTTACACACAGTACACGATGAGGCCCAGGAACACAAACACGTAGTTGCTCTGGAAGTGCTCCACATTCTTCACCAGGCGCTTGCACAGCTCGCCAAAGTTCTTCGGCCGGGAGAATCGCTTCTGGTCGATGAAGGAGGCCCAGGGTCGGATGGTGAGCCTGCGCCTCTCGATCCACTCCTTAGCTGGGCCCTGGGAGATGATCTTTGGAATGTACATCCTGAGGATGAGAGGAGGGAGAGGGAGAGGGTGGTTACAGCCTGGGTACCATTCCTAGTGATGGGATCGGTACTGAAGACACGAAAAAAATCTACAAGGGTTTCATTGTAAATCTGCAGTTTAGCACAAACAGTTTCCACTTTTCCCATGTGGAGCCTCTCGTTGACCAGTAGCCAGGGTGGTGGTGGTTGGTTGGTGGTGGTTGGTGGGGGGTGGTGCGGAGGAACACAAGGTCTTTTCTTTCGAAACGTATCCACTGCCTAATTAATGAATCACCCAGTGAGCAGGATACACTACCCCACAGGGATGGGATAACGGTGTCTGAGGGAGGAGGGTGGGAAGTGGAGATAATGCACCCCAGCCCCTGTGGTGCCCACCTATCTCCAAAGGGTTTGGGGCTACTGGGGGACGCAGTGTGCTCCTTCCTCAACGACACCCAGGCACAGAGTGCCCATGGTTTAGAGGCAGACAGTCGGGATTTCCCAGCCACACTTCATGGTCCTGGTAGTTTTGGCCAGGTCCACAATACTGGAAGGGGTCCTCTGGTCTCTCAGCATCCCTTTCCTGGACCAAAGCTCAGGAGCATGTAGCTGGAGTGTGACCAAATACAATGTGGAAATTATGTTCGCTAACTTAGCTGAGTTCTTTGAAGAAGTAAATTGTGCTGTAGATAAAGGGGAACCAATGGATGTATGGTACTTAGTTTTCCAGAAGACATTTGATAAAGAAAGCGACATTAAAAGATTACTGTAGAAATTAAAAGCTGTATTGACTGGCTAACAGGAATCAGAGATACCTCGAAGGTTCAAGTACATAATTCTTTGAAATTTGCATCATATGTAGACAGGGTGGTTAAGAAGGCATTTAGCACACTTGTCTTCATTGCTCAGTCCTTTGAGTATAGGAGTTGGGACATCATGTTGAGGTTGTACAGAACATTGGTGAGGCTCTTCTGGAGCATTATGTCCAGTTCTGGCCTTCCTGTCATAGGAAGGATATTATTAAGCTGGTGAGGGTTCAGAAAAGATCTACCAGGATGTTGCTGGATATGGAGGGTTTGAGTTATACAGAAAGTTTGGACAGGCTGGGACTTTTCTCACTGGAGCGTAGGAGGCTCAGGGGTGTCCTTATAGAGGTTTACAAAATCATGAGGGGCATAGATAATGGGACTGGCAGGTATATTTTCCCTAGGATGGGGGAGTTCAAGACTACGGGGGATGTTTTTAAGGTGAGAGGAGAAAGATTTTAAAAAGTCACAAGGGGTACTTTTAAAAAAAAAAAACAGAATGTGTTAAAAGAACTTCTGGAAGAAGTGGTGGATGAAGGTATAGTTAAAATATTGAAAAGATATTTAGATAAATACATGAATAAGAAATATTTGGAGGGATATGAGCAAAGTATAGGCAGGTGGGACTAATTTAGTTTGGGATTGTGGTCAGTATGGTCTCATTGGACCAAAGGGTCTGTTTCTGTGCTGTATAAAACTTTACGACAGGACTTGGCACTGAAGTCTCAATGCTTTACAATTTATACAAATGACCTGGATGAAGGGTCTGATGGTAGTTAAATTAGCTGATGATGCAAAGATACATAGGAAAACGTGTCAGGTACAAGACAGAGCTTTGTCTACAGAGGGAGTACAACAAAGATCCTGGGACGGCAGGACTGACATATGAAGACAGAATAGATCGATTGGGAATATATTCGCTGGAGCTTAGAAGAATGAGGAGAGATCTCAGAAACCTGTAAAGTTTCAACAGAACCAGACCAAGTATACGCAGGAAGCATGCTCCCAGTAACAAAAATTCCAGAACTGGGGTGGGGGTCACAGTCTAAGGATATGGGGTAAACCATTTAGAACTAAGAGGAGGATAAATGTCTTCATGCAGAGAGTGGTGAGCCTATGGGATTATCTGCCACACAAAAAGCGGTTGAGGTCAAAACATTAAATTGTTTTCAAGTAGGAGTCAGATATAGTCCTTAGCCCTAAGGGCATCAAAAAGGAGAAAGTGGGAGGGACAGGGGACTGAGTTGGATGATCAACCACCATCCCACTGAATGCAGGAGAAAGCTCAAAGGGCTGAATGGCCTACTCTTGTTTTCTATGACAAAAGGATAAAGGGTTCAGTGTGTGGGCAAAGATCTAGCAAATGGATCACAATGTGGGAAAGTGCGAAATTGTCCATCTTGGCAGAAAAAACAAAAACACAGCATATTATACGAATGGTGAGAGGTTGCAAAGCTCTGAGATGCAGAAGGATCTGCGTGTCCTGCTGCATGAATCACAGAAGGTCAGTCTGCAGGTACAGCAAGTAATCAGGAAAGCTAATAGGATGTGATGGTTTATGGGAGGGGAACTGAATGCAAGAGTGAAGAGGTTATGCTTCAGTTATACAGGGTGTCGGTGAGACTGCATCCGGAGTGCTGTGCGCAGTACCGTACTTACAGAAGAATGTTAATACATTGGAATCTTTACTGAACTCAGACCTGGGATGAGCAGATTGCTTTATGAGGAAAGACCAGACAGGCTGGGCCTGTATCCTCTGGAGTTTCGAGGAGTCACAGGTGACTTAATGGAAACATACATGACCCTGAGGGGACTTGACCAGGTGGATGTGTAAAGGATGTTTCTTCATGGGAGAATCTAGAATTACAGGTCTAGTTCTAGACCTCTAGAGCTAGAGCTTAAAAGTAAAGGAGCGCCGATTAAAAATACAGATAAGGCAACTTTTTCTCCCCCAAGAGGATTGAGTGTCTTTGGAATTCCCTTCCTCACAAGGCAGTGGATATATTTCCAAGGCAGAGGTGGATGGATTCTTGATGACCAAGGGCATAGGCAGTAATGTGGAGTTGAGGTTAGAATCAGCAGTGTTGATCTTATTGAATGCAAGACACTTGTTAGACCTCAGCTACAGTCCTCAGTCTACAGTGTATACACAGTACAGCTGTATACAGTGTTGACCATCACATTATAAGTGAGATGTGAGCACATTGGGAAAAGTACAGAAGTGGTTTACAAGAACAGTCCTAGGGGTGAGAAATTTCAATGGTGGGGATAGATTGAAGAAGTCATGATTGTTCTCCTTGGAGAGAAGGCGGCTGAGAGGAGGACATCTGTTACAGGTTATCAAAATCATGGCAGGGCTGGACAGAGGAGACACGGAGAAACTGTCCCTGCTTAAGAACAAAAGGTGCCTCGAAACGTGGCGGAAGCAGGTTCAACTGAGAAACTCAAGAGGATATGATTAAGCTGGAGAGGATTCAGAAGAGATTTACCAGGAATGGAGGGTTTGAATTATGGGGAGAGGCCAGAACTTTTTTTCAGAGTATAGGAGGTTTACAGCTGACATTGTGGAAGTTTCTAAATTCATGAGGGGTATAGATAAGATGAATGGCAGGTGTCTTTTCCCTAGAGTGGGGGAGTTCAAAACTAGGGGAACATATTTTTAAGGTGAGGAGAAAGATTTTAAAAAAGGCGTGAGGGGCAATGTTATTATTTTTTAAGCAGAGTGGCTCATGTGTGGAACGAAGTTCCTGAGGAAGTGGTGGATGTGGGTACAGTCACAATGTTGAAAAGACATTGGACAGTTACATGGTTTCGAGGAATGTGGACCAGAAGCAGGCAGGTGGGACTAATTTAGTTTGGGATTATGGTCAGCATGGACTGATTGGGACCGAAGGGTCTGTTTCTGTGCTGTATGAGTCTATGACTCTAGGACAGTGGATGACTATTTGGATAAAAATTGCATGCAGGGATATGCTGAAGATGGCACTAGGTAATGATGGTCATTTGAAGAGCCGGTGCAGGCACGATGGACTGAATGGTTTCTTTCTGCTTTTGTAATTCTGTGAATGGCTAAGCAGGCTTGGGGGGGCAAGTGACCTACGCTTGTTCACTGCTCACAGAATCACAGAATCCCTACAGTGCAGAAACAGGCCATTTGACCCATTGAGTCCACGCTGACCCACACCTGACTGTATTCTTGTAACCCTGCATTTCTCGTGGCTAACCCACCTAGCCTGCACATCCCTGGACATGACAGGGCAATTTAGCATGGCCGATCCACCTAACCTGTACATTTTTGGACTGTGGGAGGAAACCCACACAGCCAATAGGAGAACATGCAAATGCCACACTGACAGCTGACCCTGAGCCTTTGCTTATTCTTCCACGGGCTGGGTGTTACTCGCAACGCCAGTCGTCAATCCTAATTGAATTAGCTCCCAAGGCCATTTCAGAGGGCGGTTAAGAATCAACTATATTGTTGTGTGCCTGGAATCATGCAATTGGACTACGCAAGGGCGGTAGATTCATTTGCCTCATGGGCATTAGTGAACCAAACAGGATTTTACAATAATCAGCAATGCTTATATGGTCACCATTAATCTGGTTTTAAATTAAAACCTAGAATTAAAAATAAGTGTCAACATGATGGGATTCAAATCCATATTTCATGATTATTAGCATGGGGCTCTTGACTGTTAGTTCAGTGACATTACCATGATACCACCACCTACTTCCTCTAAGAATAATGATGTCCGTTGGTCTCCAAAACCCCCATGTATAAAATTACCATAATACTTTACATTCCAATTGCTACACACCGTAAATACGTTGGAGTGAGTTAGAGCAGAACTTGCCATTGTCAGAGAACACAGGCTGCTCTCTCATTAGAGAGATGACAACTGGTGGGGAGTTTAACACAAGGGTCATCATGCCTCAGGTAAGGAGTGAGGTTAAGAAGGCATGTGACCTTAAATGAACCCTTCATGTGACCACAGGAATTAAACCTAGACTGTTGGCATCACTGCATCACAATAGTATTGGTTTGTCACAGATTTCACTCCCTGGTACAGCATTTTCTGGAAAAACCACACCAGGCTACCGGTTTAGCTTCTAATTAGAGTCACACAGCACACAAAAAGGCCCTTCAGTCTAATCAGTCCATGCCAAACATAATCCCAAATTAAGCTAGTCCCACGTGCCTGCGTTTGGCCCATATCTCTCCAAACCTTTTCTATTCATAAACTTATCCAAATGTCTTTTAAACGTTGTAATTGTGCCCACATCCACCACTTCATTAGGACATTCATTCCACACATGAACCATCCCTCTGTGGAAAAACTCTGCCCCTCATGTCTTTTTAAATTTCTCTTCTCAGCTTAAAAAAAAGTGTGCCCCCTACTCTTGACATCCCCCATCCTAGATAAACAACTACTATTAACCCTATCTATGTTATAAACTTCTATAAGGTCACCTCTCAACCTACTACACTCCAGTGAAAAAAGCTCCAGCTTTTCTTTATAACTCAAATCTTCCATACCCAGCAACCCTGGTAAATCTCTTCTGAACCCTCTCCAGCTTGATCATGTTCTTCCTACAACTGAGCGACCAGAACTAAACACAGTATTCCAGAAGAGGCCTCACCAATGTCCTGTTCAACCGAACATGACGTCCCAACTCCTATACTCAAAAAGGACTGAGCAATGAAGACAAGCATGCTAAGCACCTTTTTAACCACCCTGTCCATATGTGACACAAACTTCAAAGAACTATGTACCTGTACCCCTAGGTGTCTCTGTTCTACAACACTATCCAAGGCCCGAGCATTAATTGTACTAGTCCTACCCCTGTTTGTTGTATCAAAATGCATTACCTCACATTTATCCAGATTGAACTCCATCTGTAATTTTTCTGTCTGTTGACCTTTTGTCTTATTGATTTGTCTAATGGCAGAAGTTGCACGTTGGTTCCCTTAAACAAGGTAAGTCTCCCATATTGTTTTTAAACAACTGTAAGAAGCATCTGTCACTTCATCTCAGCTCTTCCTCTCAAAGTGCTTACTGTTCACTATCACTGGTCTTATATTCCCAGTTTTTCTAATGGCAAACATTTACTGCCAGCTGTTTTTGGGACAGATTGTAACCATCAGCCGAAATGGCAACCCCTCTTATCTCAGAAGCCTTACAGACTTCTAGGTGGAAGAAAGGGAACACTGTTTTTAAGGTTTGCCACTAACAGGGCCTCTCTTAAATTTTCAAAATCTTGCTCAAGCTGTGTAGCTCTGTTCCATAAATCAAATTCAATTCCTGGTTGTTTAAAAAAATTCCAAAAAAAGAAGTCTGATTCCGTCTCTTCCTCCGATTTCTAAACTTTTGTCTGCAAGCTTTTGGAACTAACTGAAGTGTATTAAACACAAGAGTCTTAATCATATTATAACCTTGGACTATTCAGCTGGAACCTGAACACTTTGTTCATAACTCTCTAGGCCATTGAAGCTTATAGCAACTTTCTCAAATGATACAGAATATACTTCAACTCCCTCTTCAATACGTTTAGGTAGTAAGCAAGTATTTCTTACCAAATCAAAAATCACAAATTATTTAAAATCGATTCATGCCCAAGTCTCTCAACTACTCCTGGTTCATGTTATCAGGACTGTTCTCTGTTTAGTTCAAACTTCCTGGCTTCACTGTATCTTTGTTAATCAACACTTTTTTGATATTGTTGAAATTTGTCAAATCTCGTATTCATCTTGAATTTGCAGAATACCAATAAAGGAGAATCCAATATTTATACTGTTTGAGATGAGAATGGTGATTGATTGGCAAAGAGTCCCTGATAGGTAGAGGCATTGCCATGGAGATCACACCAGTTAAAAAATAATGACTGATTGTTAACAGCCAAACTTTCTTTAAATTTAAATCAGGCAGCTTAGTCTGATTTCTGAGAACAATGCTTTGACCAATGCATCAGGGAATGGCTGTCTCCTATTGTTGAGTTGAAACAAGGACAGTGATAAGGATCGCCAGTCTGGCTTACGATGTGGTGCACTGGCGTGTATTACAAACTAAATATATTGACACACAATGTGATGTCCTTTGTAGATAGAAAGAACATGTGCACGCACTGCATCTCCTTCAATATCAATACATTTAGCAACTGTAGCTTCTTGTTCCTTGATCCAAGTTATTGATACAAATTGTTTAAAAAATTAAGACCCCAGCACTGATCTCTGTGAGACACCAAACATTATATCTTGCCAAATGGAGAATGATCCATTTATGCCTACTGTTTTCTGCCAGTCAATAAATCCATGCCAATATGCTACCCCCGCCACAGCAACCTTTGATATCGCATTTTATCAAACAATTTCTGGAAATCAAAGTACAGTATGTCCACCAGTTTCCCTTTAACCGTAGCAAAAGCTTTTTTTTAGAAAAAAGAAAAATGAACAAAGAGGGTGGGCAATCTCACACAAGCTTTGTAGACTGTGTCCATAAAGTTATTGAAGCATAGACCATCTACAGTATGGAAGCAGGCCATTCGGCCCACCGAGTCCATACTGACCCTCCGAAGAGCATCTTACCCACACTTACCCCCCACTACTCGATCCCTGCAACCCCACATTTCCAAGGCTAACCCACCTAACCTGTACATCCTTGGACTCTATGGGGCAATTTAGCATGGCCAATCCAACCTAACCTGCATATCTTTGGACTCTGGGAGGAAACCCACACAGCCATAGGGAGAATGCCTGTGTGGAGTTTGCACAGTCACCCGAGGATGGAATTGAACCTGGGTCCCTGGCACTGAGGCAGCAGTAATAACCACTGTGCCACGGTGTCACCCACCAAATTGACAGCTCTAGAGCTTAGTAAAACAATGAACCGGATGGGGGCAGCTGTGTGAAACACCTTCCATCCCAGGTCCCCTAGTGGAATGCAGGAGGGCTCTGACATACACAGTCCTCCACTGGAGAAGAACACAGTTCTCATTTCCTCCCCTTTTCTATCAAGACTTCACCCAAACAGAAATGACATTATACAATGTTGGCAGCAGTGAGATTTTACCAATTTTACTTCCTGCTGCTTAGATATTTTAATCACCCTCGTCAGCCATGTTCTAACACAATCTTAGAACATGGAAGAATCCAACTTTTCAATTGAACAGGTAGAGAGCGTCACCTGCTCAAACCACTCCCCAAACTATTTCTTAAAGGGACCTGGGTTTCTAACCGAGTGGGGACTGTGAGCTGGGATGTCCTGCTAGCAAACGCTTCATGTGACTTCACCTGCCAGTCACCCCGCTTGCTTCATCCTCTTTGGTCAGGGAGAACACGTCCTCAGGCTTCGAGCTCATGTTGTCCTGAAAGCGCTCAGAGAGAGATGAGAACACCTGGAACAAAGAAAAACTGGAAAAGGAATCTTCATCAGTAAATAGTGATTGATTTTCACCAAAGTCAGGAAGACTAGAGATAACATCACAGCAATAAAATAGTTCACACAGTGTCCATAGATATCCCTTTCCTATCAATCTCTCTATAATGCTCTGAGGCACCTATAGGGTCTCTGTAGGATCTACACTGGGTCAAACAGGTGTATGTATGGATAGTATGAGGTTTCTATGGGGTCTCTGACATCTATATGTGTCTGTAGATTCTCTATGGCTTCTCAATAGGATTGCTATCAGGTCTATGGTGCCTCTATAGGAAAGGTCTCTATAGGATATAAACAGATTATAGAGGGTCTCCATAGGGTGTATAAGGGATTTATAAACAATCTGTCTTCTAAAAGGTTTATATTAGTTCTATAATTCTCAGTAGGATGGACACAGGGTCTATAGTGTACCTATAGGCTGTACACTCTAAAGAGCCTGTGAATCTGGGGTTTATAGAGTATATCCAGGACCTACAGTGTCTCTATAGGGTCCACTCAGGTTCATTAGGTTTTCTATAGGGTGCAGTGGATAACCATAAGAGATGCATATAGGTCTTCCAAGGGTTCCACAATGTCTGAAACAAAATCGAAATTGCGGTTGTAGCCATGCTTGCTGAGCAGTTGGGTTCGGTTACAGACATTTCGTTACCCTGCTAACACCATCAGCGCTCCTCCACTGAAGTGTTGGTGTTCTTTCCCGCTTGTTATTTCTATGCCTCGGTTTGCTGGGGTGGGTGGCATTACTTCCGGTTCTGTTTCTTAGTGGTTTCTACACAGGGTCTAATTCAATGTGTTTATTGGACTTCCAATTGGAATACCAGGCCTCCAGAAATTCCCTGGCGTTTCTCTGTTTCGCTTGTGCGATTATCGATGGTTTTGGGTATGGGATCCTTTACGTTTGTCAGTAGCTGTCAGGGTGGTTGTTGCTTTGTGGGCTACTCTGATACCTAGGAGTATGAGTAGTCTTGTGGTCATCTCTGAAATGTCCTTGATGTACGGTAGGGTGATTAGTGAGTCTGGCTGTGTTGTGCCTTTCCGTGGTGGTCTGTCTCGAAGGTAATAGCGGATTGTACTTTTCGGGTATCCGTTCCTTTTGAAGACTCCATGTAAGTGCTCCTGTTCTATTTTGCATAGTTCCAGGTTGCTACAAGGTGTTGTGGCTCATTTAAATAGTGTCCCGATGCAGCTCTGTTTGTGGGCGTTGGGGTGGTTGCGAGTGTAATTGAGTATCTGGTCCGTATGTGTGGTCTTTCTATAAACACTAGCCTGGAGTTCCCCATTGTTTCTGCGTTCTACTACTATGTCCAGGAAGGGTAGTTGGTTGTTGTTCTCTTCTTTTGTGAATTTTATCCCTGCGAGGAGGTGTATGTGTCGGTGGGTTTCTTCTAGTTCTGTGCGTTTAATAGTCATGAATGTGTCATCTACATATCGGACCCACGGTTTGGGATGTATAGTGGGGAGCGCTGTCTATTCTAACCTTTGCATTACTGCTTCTGCAATCAGTCCTGATATTGGGGATCCCATTGGTGTTCCGTTGATTTGTTTTATATGCTGTTGAAGGTGAAGTGGGCTGTCAGGCACAGATCTAGTAGTTTCACGGTGGTGTCCTTGTTGATGTTGGTGGTGTCCTGGGGTGCCTGCCTACCAAGATCCACCTTAGTGTGGGGGGTGGGGTTGGGGTTGGGGGGCAGGGGCACACAGGACCTACATGTGGTTGGGGTTGGGGT